GGGACGGGGGCGGCGGTGGGCGACACCGGGGCTTCGGAGGTGTCGGCGCCAGCACCGCCGTCGGCCAAGTTGTCGTCGGCGTCGGCAAACAAGTAGCGATCGTAGTCGCTGATGTGGCGCCTGAGCTCGGCGTCAACCTCCATGCTGTTGGTAGCGGGCTTGGATCGGTCGCGGCCAGTCGAAGTTTTTTCACCGCGCGGATTCGCCCTATTTTTAGTAGTAGGCGCGGTCACCGGCGCGAACGCCAGCAGGCGGCGGCGGCGCGACTGGGGCGGCGGCGGCGGCGGCGGCGTGGGATCAAGGGGGTCGGCGTCGATGCCCAAGTACAGCTGGCGCTGGCGCACCGTCGGCTTCCACAGCGGGGTGGCGTCGTCATATTGCGACTCGGGCGACGGGGGGCGCGGCGCCACCGCCGTCAGCAACCGCTTGGGCATGGTGGCGATCCGGTCGCCGTCAAAGCCCCTCAGCTGGCGCAAGGTTTTGCGAGGGTCCAACAGACTGCCGTTGACCCCCATGGGCGACTCCAGCAGGGTACAGCTCAGATCCAGGCCGGCGGCGCTAAAGTCCAGGTATATTAACAGCAGCAGCAGGGTGTTGTTGCGCACGTGTTGCGGGATCAGCTCCTTCAGCACCGAGCGCTTGTGCTCCCCCTTCAACCGGGTGAGAAGGCCCATGTTCTTTGAGTGGTGGCGGCGAATGGAGACGGGAAAACAAAAACGTGGCGAGCGCTCTCGTCAAGGGCTGGCAGGCGAGTTTTTTTTATAAACAGCGTGCGTGCTGCGGAAGGGATGCTGCGGGCAAACTAAAAATAAAAAAATAGCGGGTGGCCCTAGAAAGGGAGCAGGCGAGCAATGTAGGAGAGACAAAGCAAGTATCCGAGCCGGCGGGTAGGAGCGCCAGATCAGCCTGATACGAATTGCGTCAGCGAGCAGCCACCCACCGAGGAAAAGAGGAGCAGCAAAAGTACTAGCAAAGAACAAGAGGCAGCTTAGAGAGGACAGCTAAAAGGGCGCTCCCCAGGGTGAGGCCACCCGCACCCGAGGGCGCTATTGTGCCGTGGCTGGGGAATGAGACATGTTCCCCCGAGCCCTGGCGTTATTGGCGATGAAGCCACAGGCACCCCGGTGCCCCGGTGCCTTGCTGATAACCACACCCATCCACCGAGGCACCAGCTACGAGCGGGACAAGGCGCCCCTGGCGCCC